GTTTTTGCTGCAGCACAAGCTACTGCAAGCTGGAGACAGTGTTGTCTAATAGTTAAAGCAGGAGACGTGGAGTCTCTTCCTACTACAGCTACTGATTTACTGTGTGACCTTGGCCAAGTCACCTAACCTCTGTACCTCAGCTTTTTCTATCCCTCTGTTCTCACTTTACATCTATTTACATTTTGCTGTTTCAAGTGATTTAACTTTTAAATCCCTAGAGGTTATGCCATAGAAATGCCTCAGACCTTCAGAGCAAGGTAAGCAGTACATTGTGTATGTTATATTACATATTGAAATATAGTCGGCTTATGAAAGGGTCATACAATTTTTGCTATTTTTACCTATCCATCTTGGCGGGTCGGCTTATAAACAAACTGGCTAATGAACAAGTATATACGGTACAAAAAGTAAAGCAGATCTGGCAATGAGCTCTGCCACAATGCCTACGTAAAACTGATCGTGATTAGGTTGGAGGCCACTGCCCATCATGCTGATTAATGTTGTCTCTCTTTTCCCTTTGTGCTCCCTGCTCTGTCTATCCCAATCTGTTCTTTCTTGTCTTAAAGTAAGTCTATAAGCTCTTGGTGGGAAGAGCTGTCATTTTGTTCTCTGTTTGTACAGCAGCTAACACAATGGGGTCCCGGGCCATGACTGGGGCTCCTAGGGGTTAATCCAAGGTTAGGATACTCACCAGGGTATGGGACTGCCTTGGTCAGTTTCCTCTCCCTTCCTGATGTGGAAAAGGGATTTGAAGAGGATTTGTGTGGCTGGAGAAGAGGCCTCATGCATATCTATTAGCCCAGTGGTTAGATAACATATGGGGGATGTGGTAGACTTGGGGTCAATTCTTCCATTATAGCTCACGAGAAGGGATTTGAATAGGGCTGTTTCTTGTATCAGGTGAGTGCTCAAATCACTGAACTAAGGGATATTCAGATGTTGGTTGCCCTTCATACATTCTTGAAGCTGTTCCACTTTCATCAAATGATAATTGGACAACACAGAACATGAAAACCCCTCTGTAGTCCAGGGTATTCGATACTTGCCCAGGTGTCTAGTGGGTCTGGTTTAAATCCCCTTTCTTCTTCATTAGAAAGGACCTCTTCCCTCTTAAGTGAATGTTCAAAGTGCTGAGGTATTCTGATCTGATGGCTTCCTCTCTCTTTTGTGTTGAAGGTGGGCCACTTTCTGTAAATATTACATGAGAATTGGGCCAGTTAGTCTCTGTGACTCTGTTGGTAGTCCTGTGGTTTGGATACTTGCCTCCAAGCTAGTAAGTTGCAGGTTCAAACTCCCCTTCCTCTTTGCTGAGAGGGGTTAGCACCTTGATCTCTTGCTGCTCAAGTGTTACACTTTAACTATAGATTAACCCGGGCAAAAAAAAAGATATCAAGACCCTATACGGGAAGGGGGTTAGAGTGCTTGCTTTGATAGTGGGCGACCTAGGTTCAAATCCCTTCCCTGAGACAGGAGGGGTGCCTCAATCTCTTACCACTCAAGCGTTCCACTTTAACTATATATTAACCGGAGCAAGGTAAGCTCTCATGTCCCTCTACAGTACAGGGGTTAGGGTGCTCGCTTGGATTGCAAGTGACCCTGGTTCAACTCCCCGCTCTGTGGGACAGGAGGGCCTGTAGGGTGAGAGAGGAGACCCCCTCCTAGCTCAGCAAGAGGCCTGTCACAGGGCCTCTTGCTCTTTTAATTAAAAAGGCTTTGCTGCTGAGCAGTAAAACCCCC